TTTGGAAATTTTGGAAATTCCAAAAATGCCATTTTAGGCACTCATTGGATGCGCTGTCTCACGCAGCAACACAAAGGCCACGCGTGCTCGTGATTTATCCAGAGAGCGAGGGCGTAACCCACAACAGATATTTCTGTATATTTTTGCTTAATATATCGTATTTTAATTCTCTTTATCATCATTTCACGGTAGTTAAGCATTTTGGGCCGCGATATGCATGCAGTTGACCATGAAGTGTGACAACAACATCCAGAACCAGAGTCCAACTGATTCGCACTCGGCCAGACTTTGCGAATTGTTTTGCTGGTCTAAAGAAAAGAATTTTTTCTGCATTTTGGAGTAAAATTTGTTATATGCATGATCAAATTAATGCACGAGAGTTAATTGTTCACCGCGGGATTTGCGTAGCATTAGCTTAGCAGAACATGTGGGATTGCACGATGAATGTCTAATACATGCACAGAAGAAGCTCATTTTCGCCTTTTTCGCATTTTGTCGATCGTTTCAGGGATCAAAAATTTAGTTTTTGGTTTTCCTTTCAGTTTAGATGTGACTGAGCTCCTCAAACTTCAGAAAGTATATCTGAGACTGATCTTGGAGCCGATGCGCTCCAGTGGGAGGAAATTCCGAAATTTTTCCTCGGAAATTCCGAAATTTTTTCTCCGAGACATGCTTCTGAATTCTATAACCAAGTGAAACTTCGCGCCTTTCAGTATTTGCTTTGCTAAATTTACGTTTTATATGCGGTTCCTGAAGAACACTTCAGCCTGGAGTAGGTTTGCAACCCGCTGTAGACAGCGCCGTTCTTTCCACTACCTGCTCTTTGAACTCTACCCGAGGACTCTGCCCCTCGAAGGAAACAATTTCTTTTTTTTGCTTTTTTAGACTATTTTTAACATTATTTCATTTATTTCTTGCCTTGCGTCTACCAGGCTAGCTCAAAACGTGTCCGGCTAGGCTCATTTTTGCTCACTGGCTTCCCCTTCCGGCTAAATTGCTGGATTGGGCAGTCGCACTGGGCGTCCGGGAGTAACTCTTAAAGCGCCAGATCCAATTGTAAACAATTAAACCTTTTTTCAATTTCATTCATTTATTATAGAATGCTGCGCTCACGATTTTGTCTGGGTGTCGGATCGTGCTGCTGTGCTGCTCTGTGGAGCCACAAAAGGCACCGACGCGCACACGAATCCTTAATTGGTCAAAGATACTGTGTCTCAATAATGAAAGAAATATAATTTTAAATGCACAAATTTCACTTTAAAATGATAAAATAACGCAGTCCTCAGTTGTGAGCCCTTAATCGCAAACTAACGAGGAATAGATGGAACCACTGCGGGCTCTTGTAAGATTTCATCCACGAAGAAGATTTATATCCCTGTTTTTTTCAAGCCTCTTTGGTGAGACAAGAGTCATGGGTCTTAGTAAAGAAGTTTTAAATGAGAAATACATTATATCATGGGTCTCAGTAAAGAAGTTTTCAAGTAAGAAAGCCATTATCCAAAGCCTGAAGGCTAATAGCTTGGACTTAGAGGCAACAACTTCAGCAGCTCCAACAGCTAAAATTGCGACAAGATTATCTTTCTTACTTTTGAATAATTGTTTGCTGAATTCAAATGCTCTATTTAATCGAGCCAGGCCAGAAGTGGCCCTTGAAGATGTACTCCAGACACCAGATCTCCCATATGAAATGTTTGACGGCTGGTGCTGCTGCTGGTGCTGCTCCTGCTGCTGCTGCTGCGGTCACTGTGCTCTTTGCTGCCAGTTCTTGTTCCGCCGTCCCCTGGATACCCACAGACACTGCCGCTGCTGCTGCGGCCACTTCCACTGCTGCTGCTGCTGCCGCCACTACCTCTGTTACTGCTGCTGCGGCCACTACCGCTGCTGCTGCTTTCGTTGCAGCTCCTACTGTTGCTGCTGCTGCAGCAGCGAGATCTTCAGAAGATAGTTGATTCGAGTTATCGAAACTCGCTGGAGTCAGCTAACCAGCTGTAGCTGCAAGTACTGGTAAAGTGTAGTGTTTGGTGTTTGGTTTTTGGCTCTTTTCCTCGTAGCCACAGAAATTGAAAAATGCTAAATTCCTTTTGTGCATCTCTTTTCTCTCCCATTTGCTGTTTGTAAAAATGCCAAAAAATGGAGAACACTTTCTTTTGCTTCTTCTGGTGGGCCAGAACTCTTCACTTCACAAATAATTCTCGAATATGAATTTCCAGATTACTTCTGATAAACTCATCAAAATTGTGGAAGGACATGACAACTTGAATCTCGGGAAAATTGTTTGAAGCCACGACTGAATCTGTTCCTTTGTTTATTGATATTTCATAAACTCCGCACTTGCAGTTTTAGTCTTTTCAAATGACGTCAGTCAATTCTGTTTCTAAACTTTTCCAGAAATGTTTGAACTTGCTTGTTCTACAAAGCCAATCTACAAAAGGCTCTCAGGCAACAAGCAAAATTCAATTTGAGTATGTTTTGGCGAAGTTTGACGAAGGAAATTTCCTTTTTCGTCTTACAATTCTGCACTGAAGTGTTCGCTTTCTTATTTATACTCTACACCGATATTTGCAATTTAGGCATTCTCCATTTCTTCCAATTCTTTTCAAGCATTTCTTTTTTGCAACTCCTTTCGCCGCACTCTTTTCTGCTGCATATTAATTGCAGTATTGCACTGATGCAGATCAGCTTCACAATACAGGCAAAGGCACTTTTATGAATTTTCAAGTAAATAAATGTTCAGCCTGAATGCAATTTTTGTCATTTGTGATGAAAGTAATCAGAAAGTGCATTTATTGGGATTCAGAGATGTTCACGGATTTGCAAAAGACAGAAAGAAACTGCTGCAGCGCCGCGAAGCAAACTGGCTAATGGGCAAACTGGCGAGCGCGGAGCTAGCCAGCTAGCTAGCTAAGTAGCCAACTACCTAGCTAGCTAAACAGCTAGCTAACCGGCCTACTAGCTAACTAGCTGGCCAGCTAACCAGCTAACTAACAGAAAAGCCTAATTTGGAAAAAAGCGCGTCGACCCGGGATCGAACCAGGGACCTTTAGATCTTCAGTCTAACGCTCTCCCAACTGAGCTATCGACGCCACAAAGCTCTTTATTTTGAATTCCAGACTTGTTCTTGTGAAATTCTTTTTCGCAGTGTTGGCTTTTCGACTTGTTCTTGATTAAGTCCTATGCAAAATCCGGCAAAAACTCAGTCAAAATCCCACTAATAAAAGCCAAATGGCTGCAGTTTTTCCCTTAAAGAAAAACTTTCAAAGATTTGCATGCGCCTATGAACTTGCAAGAAATATGTACAACTGCAGTTCAACTTCTGCTGCCTTTAGCCTCACATCCCCAGGCTCTCGAGATAGACTAATTTGCTGCTGCTCTTGTTGAATTCGGAAAACCAAAATAGGTTTTTTTTCTTTTTTTCCTTCCCACAAGACTCATTTCCAGAAGTGAAGCTCTGAAGGCGGAGAGCTGGGAGTCAAGATGGCGAGCAGAAAGAGAAAAGCAAAAGAGGCGCAGAGAAGAAATCAGCAAATGAATAAAAAGGGTTTTAAGGAGTATTTTGAAAAGGCCTTTTGCTTCCAAAAAACGTAACAGGAAAACGCTCCACATGTTTGCCAAACTGTCCTGGCCCTCGCCAGCGACGCTTCTAGCATTGTTCTGAGTTGCTAGGAAGCAAAAGCAGCAGCAGCAGCAGCAACAACAGAATACCCAGGAGTGCGCGTCGACCCGGGATCGAACCAGGGACCTTTAGATCTTCAGTCTAACGCTCTCCCAACTGAGCTATCAACGCGGAGGTCCGGTGGTTGTCTATTCCGCAGCAGCAGCAGCAGCAACAGCAGCAGCAGCAGCATGAGCAGCCAGCAGCAACAAACGACTCGACGAAGCGCGTCGACCCGGGATCGAACCAGGGACCTTTAGATCTTCAGTCTAACGCTCTCCCAACTGAGCTATCAACGCGTGGGTCCACTGGACCGCTATTTCGGAGCAGCAGCGGCATCTGGTGCTGCTGCTGCTGTGGCAGCTGCTGCTGCTGCTGCAGCAGCAGCTGCAAAAGGGGCGGGCGAGCGCGTCGACCCGGGATCGAACCAGGGACCTTTAGATCTTCAGTCTAACGCTCTCCCAACTGAGCTATCGACGCAGGAGCAGGAAGGACGCCTATTTCTACACTTCAGTTGTCTGCTGCTGCAGTTCTTTAAATTTTTGAAGAATATTTTATTTAGATAAATTCATTTTCGCGTTTTCAATTTGCTGCTGCTGCTGCTGGCGCAGCTGGGCGGCTGGGGTCGGCCTGGGGCGCGTGGGCGCGGCCGGGGTGTGCAGATTGCGTGGGGGGAGGCGGCAAGGCTTGAAATGCAGAAAAAATGAATTTAAATGTTTATTTTAAATGTTAAAAAGTTCAAAAGAAATAAAAGAAAGGTAAAGGGAGCCGTTTAGGTGTGCACGGCTAGCCGGAGCCTCCTGAGGCGCGTGTGCCTCGGGCCCCCCCTGGCAGCAGCCGTGTGGCAGCGGCGGCTCTTCCGGGCGCTTCTGAAGGGGGTTTTCCGCATTCACTTCATTTAATTTTCATAATTTCATATTTTTATTTTTAATTTATTGCAAAGGTCGCTTGTTTATTCGCCTGGCGCCTGCCTGCTTCGCCCGGGCCTGCTGCGCCGCCGCCGACGCAGCGCCTCGCTGCTGCCAACTGCAGCAAGCCGCAGCAGCCGCCGCGGCAGCAGCAGCAGATCTGCCACTCCAGCGGTGGATCCTCTGCAGCCGAACAGCGCATCTGCTGCTGGCGCAGCAGCAGCAGCCGACCTGCTGCCGCAGAAGCGGACCCGCTGCAGGCTTGCTGCGGGAGCGCCTTAGCAGCGCCTTAGCAGGCCCGCAGGAAGGCCTTAGCAGTGCGGCCGCAGCAGCGCAGCAGGGCCGCAGCAGCAGAATGGCGCTGCTGAGGGCCCCGCTGCTGGTGCTGCTGTGCTGCTGCTGCTGCTGCGCAGCAGCGCAGCAAGACGAAGAAGACCCCCTGGGGGATCTTCCGGGGGAGCTGCAGGAGCAGGGCCTGGAGGTAAGTTCCCCGGCGCTGCTGGAGGCCCTAGCAGCAGCAGAGCAGCTGGAAGCGGAAAAGGAGGAAGCAGCAGCAGCAGCAGGAGCCGCCGTTTGGGAGGACCCCTCGGAGGGGGGGCCCCTTGAGGGCCTCCGTGGGGCCCCGGGGTTTCCAGTGGAGGAGGGTTCGTGGAAGGCGGGCGAAAGAGGGTCTGGGGAGGAGGGCCCCCCCCCCCCCCCCCCGAGGGCCCCCGCCGCGCGGGGCCCCCCCGCCGGGCCCGCCCCCGGGGGCCCCGGCGGGGGCCCCCCCGGGGGCCCCCCCGCGGCCGGGGGGCCCCCGAAGGGCCCCTCGCTGAAGAGCGTGTTCAAGAAGCTGGGAGGCGCGGAGTGGTTCGCTGCGCTGGTGCGGAAGGCGCAGCAAAAGGCGCGGGGAGAGTGCAGGGTTTTGAAGGAAAGGGGGATAACCCCGGAGGCAAAACACTCGCCAATTAAGGGTTTCGGGTACCCGCGCTTCGACCTCAAGTCCCGGAAAATGAGGGTTTCGCCGGGGGTTTCGCTGTCGCTGGTGAACGGCTTCAGGGCCCCCATCCGCGTGGGCGCAGCAGACTTCCTGGTGCAGGGCAATGCTGCTGCTGTGCTGCTGTTCCTGGACTGTTTTGCTGCTTACGAAGTGGTGGGGTCGCGGCTGACGGCGGAGGGCCGGTGGAGCAGCGATCCCGATCCCGATCCCGATCCCGGCGCCGCGGGCGGCCCGGTGTACGTACAGCTGCAGAACACCGGCCCCGGCCCCTTCGCCTCCGTCAAGCAGCTGCTGCTGCACACGGCGGTCGAGCGCCTGGTCAAGACCATTGGTCCAGTGGACCTCTTCGTGGACTCCGTGCTCGAGGCCCTGCGGGCCTCCCCGGGCCTCCTCGCGGGGGCCTCCAGGGCCCGCAAGCTCCTCGCCAAGCGCCTCGTCCGCATGCGCCAGGTGTTCTCTCTGGGGGCCCTGCTGGACCTGCCTCGGGCTGAGGCGGAGCAGCTGCTGCGGGACTTGTTTCGCCAGCCCACGCCCGCGGCCCGCGCCCGCAGGCTCGCCCTGCTGCTGCAGCAGCAGCAGCAGCAGCAGCAGCAGCAGCAGCAGCGGCGCCGCCCCCGCGGCGGCGGCTGGGCCTGGGAAAACGCCGCGGCCGTCAACGCCGCGCAGCCCCTCACCCTCTCCTTCACCATGTACCCCAAGCCCAGCCACGGCGTCCGCGCCACTGTGGCTCTCAGCAGCAACCGCGTTTTTGTGGCCGAAGCTTTTGCTGCTTTTGCGGAGTTTCTGCTGCTCTCCGGCAGCAAAGACTCCCTCGAGGCCCTCGGCGCTGTCTGGCACCGCTAGGCCTCCTTTGCGGAAAGATCGAAACAAAAAGTCGCGCCAGCTCAAGGCCGGACGCCCCCGCGACGCATGCGCCTCCGGTGTACGTACACCCCCCTGCATGCAGCCATGCATGCGTGCGCGCATGCATGCAGGCATGCGCGCATGCGTGCGTGCATGCAAGCGCGCCCCCACAGCTGCGCCCCTGCAGTCGACCTCCTTTATACATGTCTTTCTTTCTGTCGCCTTTGCAGCTTAGTTCTTGGAAGTGGGGGGCATTTTTTGCATTGAATGCATTTAATGCAAAGTCTACAAAGTGCAAAGTTGCAAGTGTACATTGCCCCGAGTTACGCAAAGGCGCTCGCAGGCGCTGCTGCTGCAGCTGCTGCAGCAGCGGCACCAGCTGCTGCTGCTGCTGCTGCAGAAGGGCTGGGTTTGTTGCTGTGGAGGTCTTCCCTGCAGCGGCGAAGCCCGCCAGGAAATGCCTATTGAAGTGTTTATATGCTCATATGGCCTCAAATTTGTATAAATTAGCTTGCCGTTCTTTTGTTTCATTTGTTTTAAAATGAAACACTTGTTTGGTTTTTTGATCATTTTTTTCTATTTTTCGAGCTTTTGCATGCAGCGCCTTTTGGGGCTTTTCAATTTGCTGCACAAGGCTTTGAGTAGGCGCAGCTGAGCACCAATTAAAAAATCAATTTAAATATTTAATTTCAATTTATTTAATTTATTTCCAACTTTTTATTTTTGCCTCTGCTGCCCCACCAACTCGCAATTTTTCAATTTTCCACGTTTCATTCTTCTCAAGTCCCCAATTAGATCTTTTCTAAACCCTCAGACTATTTTCTAAACCCTCAGGCTATTTGCTAAACCCTCAGACTATTTGCTAAACCCTCAGACTGTTTGCTAAACCCTCAGGCTATTTGCTAAACCCTCAGGCTATTTGCTAAACCCTCAGACTATTTGCTAAACCCTCAGACTCCTCCCTAAGGCGATTATATAAACCCTAGGGTTTTGTGTAAACCCTAGAGAAGTTTTGTAAACCCTAACTGGATTTTATAAACCATCAAAATGCATGAGTAAAGCCCCAATAAATCCTGAAGACTTTTTTAATTTTTTTGCATGCGAAAGTCTTTTTAAATTAATTCTTTTGTGGCTCAGCAACTGATGGAAAGAGCACATTAAAAAGAAAAAGAAAAGAGTTTAAATTCCAATAAAGATAAAAAGTTGATGCTGCTGCAGCTGCTGCTGCAGTTGCTGCTGCAGCTGCTGCTGTAGCTGTTGCTTCAGCTGCTGCTCCAGCTGCTGCTGCAGCTGCTGCTTCAGTTGTTGCTTCAGCTGCTGCTGCAGCTGCTGCTGCAGCTGCTGCTTCAGCTGTTGCTTCAGCTGCTGCTGCAGCTGCTGCTTCAGCTGCTGCTTCAGCTGTTGCTTCAGCTGCTGCTGCAGCTGCTGCTGCAGCTGCTGCTGCAGCTGCTGCCACAGCGGGGGCGGAGCTGCCTGCTGCTGCGCTGCCCGAATTTCCGTGCAGCGCCTTTTCGCCCAAAGTTTGCTGCAGCAGCTTTTCAGCACAAGTATCAGCCACAAGAGAGGCCAAAAAGGGCATAAGAAGACCAAAAAAGAAACAAAAAAGAGACAAAAAGAAACAAAAAAGACAAAAAAGAAAAGAGAGACACAAAAACAGATAAAAGAAACAAAAAAGAAGCAAAAAGAAACAAAAAAGAGGCAAAATGAGACAGAAGGAACAACAGCGCCGGCTGCGCTGTCTACAGCAGCCTCGCCATTTGGGGGCCCCTCAGGAGGGGCCCCCAGGGGCCCCCAGGGGACCCCAGGGATCCTGGGGGCCCCTGTGCAAAACTGCCCTTCACAAAGTCACTCCGTACTCCTGCAGCAGCAGCAGGAGGAACAGCAACAGCAGCAGCAACAGCAGGTGCAGCATACAGCAGCAACAGCAGATGCAGTAGCAACAACTATAGCAGTAGTTCCTGCAGCAGCCGCAACAGGAGCAGCAACAGCAGCAGCAACAGGTGGAGCAGCAGCAGCGGCAGCAGCAGCGACAGCGGTATCGGAAGCTGCAACGGCAACAGCAGCAGCAGCGGCAGCAGCAGCAGCGGCAGCAGCAGCAAAACTTCCGCCGCCGGGACTTGAACCCGGGTCGCGCGGGTGAGAGCCGCGTATCCTAACCACCTAGACTACGGCGGATAATTCTGGTGCTGCTGCTGCTGCTGCTGCTGCTGCCGCTGTTGCTGCTGCTGGCAGAAGGAAAATTATATTGGCTGGTGCTGCTGCTGCAACTGCAGCAAGCAGTCGCCTGCTGCTGCCAAGATGAGACTCCTATTTGCTGCTGCTGCCGCCGCAGCAGCAGCAGCGTGCCCTGCTGCTGCCGTGAAGATTCCTATTTGCTGCTGAAGCTGCTGCTGCTGCTGCTGCTGCAGCGAGAAGAACCCTCTTTCTGCTTCAAGGCGACTTCCACTAGCTGCACGCGCTGCAGCAGCAGCAGCAGCAAACGAAAGCCGCTGCTGCTTCTTCTCTTCCTTTTATCTTTTCCATTTATTTCTTTTCCTCTGCTGCTGCCTTTGGAGCTATCTAACCTCCTTCCAGATTCTAAAATACTTTCTTTTTTCCTTTTTCCTTTTTTGTCCCATTCTAGTTCCCTTTTCTTCTTGCTTCCAAAGGCCGGTCTGCTGCAGCAGCAGCAGCAGTAGCAGCAAGTGCACACAAGAGTCGTTCCCAGGAGACTCCTGCAGCTGCTGCTGCGTCCTGCAGCAGCAGTTGCTGCTGCAGCCAGAAACAAACTTCAGCAGCAGCAGCGGCAGCAGCACGACCTGCAGAGCCAAATGGCAGACCCGAGACCGCAGGCCCTAGGCCTTCCCTTTTTCTTTCTTTTTTTTTTCTAATTTTTCAACTCCTCAATTTGCAATTTTTCCCTTATTTCTTTTTAATCCTTTTTGTTTTGTCTCTGTACTTGGCCCCCTCTCGCTACGCTACCCTCTTCGTACGTTTCCAAATCGCGCAGCAGCAGCAGCAACAGCAGTAGCAGCGACAGCAGCAGCAACAACTGCAGCAGCAACAACTGCAGCAGCAACAGCAGCAGCAACTTGGTGTGACGCTTGATTTCCTGCTGCAGTTCTGTTGCTTCTAAACTAAGGCAATACTTGCAGGGCCCTTGAGGGGCCCCAGGAGGCCCTAAAGGGCCCCTGGGATATTTCGGGGGGCACAGAGGGGGCCCCCCTGTGCTGCTGGAGGCTGCTGCTGCTGCTGCTGCTGCTGCAGCTGTACAGACAATGCGACTCGGGCACCTCTGCTGGTGATGTTCGCGCCTGCTGCTGCTGCTGCTGCTGCTGCTGCTGCAGGTATGCGGCAGGCGACGGAGGTCGCAGGGCGACCAGTGGGCTGCTGCTGCTGCTGCTGCTGCTGCTAGCAGCAGCAGCAGCACCGGGAATGAAGCTGCTGCGCCTAGGAGCCACGGGGATCCAGGGGGCCTCCTTTCTTTGGACATCGCAGCAGGAGCTTCTTCTTACACCTCCATAGTTGGTGCTGCTGTTGCTGCTGTTGCTGCTGCTGCAGTCGCCCTTACTGCTGCTGCGACCGTTTGCAATGCTGCTGCTTCCGCAGGAGCTGCTGCGGCTGTTGCTGCTGCTGCTGCTTGGTGCTGCAGCGCTGCTGCTGCCTCCGTTCCCTTCATCGGCGTCGCTGCTGCGATCGGCAGCATCTTGGGTCTCATGAGGTTCTTCTTCTTCAGCAGTAGCAGCAGCAGCAGCTGCTGCTGCTGCTGCTGCAGTGTGTGTGGAGTCCCCATCAGAAGCCGGGTCACTGGGTGTTGCGAATAGCGGGACAGCAACGGGCTCAGCAGCAGCAGCAGCAGCAGCTGCTGCTGCTGCTGCCTTTGTTGCTGCTGCTGCTGCTTCGATCATCTCGTCCTCAGTTAAGGCCGCAGCCTTTGTGGCGCTGCTAGCTTCATTCCCTTGCTGCTGCTGCTGCTGTCCTTGGTGCTGCTGGTGCTGCTGCTGCAATTGCTGCTGTTGCTGCTCTTGCTTCTTCAGCTTCTGTTCAGCTGAGGGATCAGCAAGTGTTTTAGGCGAGGTTTGTTGAGCTATAGATTCTGCAGCTTTACTAGCAGCAGCTGTTTCTGTTGCTGTTGCTGCTGCTGCTGCAGGGTTTTGCTGCTCCTGCAGCTGCGACGGCCATGTGCTGCTGCTGGCAGCAGCACCGCTGGCAGCAAGGGGAGTCTCTTGGGGGCCCCCTTGGGGGCCCCCCTGAGCATCTTTGTTTTCTGAAGCAGCTGCAGCAGCAGCAGGAGCCGCGGCAGCAGGTGCAGCAGGAGGTGCAGCGGCAGCAGCAGCAGCAAATGCTGCCTCCAGCAGCTTGCAGCACTCAACCACCTTGGCAAGGTTCCCCTGGAATGTCTGTACACCTCAAACGCATGCAGCAGCAGCAGCAGCTTTGTGGGGCCCCGGAAGCAAAAAGAGACGCAGAAAAAGCCCCAAAGAAAAAAGGAATTCAATTCTGCAACTCAGCTGCATGCGCCAACGAGGTGTACAGACACCCAATTTCTGCATGCATTTGCAAATGGAAATGGCAAAAAAGGAAAAAAGGAAAAGAAAAAGAGAAAAAGAAGAAAAGAAGGAAAATGAGAAAAAATGAAGCAAAAAGCCCCAAAGGCAAACGCATGCACCTGCATGCAGCAAGCGCTGCGCTGTACGTACACCGCAGCCCCCCAAACGCCTTTTTGCATGCATGCACTTAATGAGAAAACCTTATTTATTTTACTTTCTTGCAAACATTCTTTGCATGCATTTATTTAATCACAGAATTTACTTATTTTAACTTCTTTCAAAAAGATCTGCTGCGCCCAGCGGGCCCACATTTGCAGAAAACAATTGCACTTAAAACAAAATAAGAAAATAAATAATTAAATAATTAAATAAATAAAATGAATAAATAATAAATAAATAAAATAATAAAATACAGAAATGAAAAATAATAAAGTAATTAATTTAAAATTCGAACAGCGCGGGCCGCTGGCTTTGGCCGCCGGGCGAGGGCCCACGGCTCTGGCCCAGAAGAGGGTTTAGGGTTTAGGGTTTAGGGTTTAGAGGTTAGGGTTTAGGGTTTAGAGTTTACGTAGAGGAGTCCAGGGTCCTCGCGGAATCCGAGGCGAGACAGCAGAAGAAAAGCCTCGGCCTTGACGTCGGCGAATCTTTCTGAAAATAAAAATAAAATAAAATGAAAATAAAATAAAAATAAAATAAAATAGAATAAGATAAAATAAAAATAATTGAATTGAATGATTAAACAATAAAGAAAACAATTAAACAAATTAAATTAAAATAATTCAATGATAAAGAAACTAATTAAATTAATTAAACAATTATACATTAAAGAAACTATTGAGTAAATAAAATAAAGGAATTAAGCAATTTAAGAAACCAATTAAGTAAAATAATAAAAGAATTAGATGATTTAATAGACAAATTAAATGAATTAAATAAAAGAATAAAATGCTGAAGAAATTAATTAAATGAATAAACTAAAAGAATAAAATATTGAAGAATAAAATACTGCATAAACTGAATAAAGAAACTAAGTAAGCAAAGAAGTCAAATTAAAGAGTTAAACATTTAGAAGATTTAAATGATTAAATTAAATAAACCAAATAAATTAAATAAATAGTAAGTAGACTTAATAAATAGAGAAACAGACAAATTAATTAAATGAAGTTAAATTAAGATGAAAGAAAATAAACCCCACAAGACAAAAGAAGGGCCTACTTTCCTCTGGGATCGTGTTGGGATCGTGTTGGGATCGTGTGGGATCGTGTTGGGGTCGCGTAGGATCGTGTGGGATCGTGTTGGGATCGTGTGGGATCGCGTGGGATCGTGTGGGATCGTGTTGGGATCGTGTCTCACCCTTAAAGCGAGGGGCTGTGGGGTTTACGCGGCCGTACCGCACGCGGTCCTCCGTCGTTGTTGCTGAGCGCAGATTTCTCAGCATCAGCTGCAGCAGCAGCAGCAGCAGCAGCAGCAGCAGAGAGGAAGCGTAAGGCCCTTGGCCACTACAGCACCTGCAGCCATCAAGCTGCACTTTGCGACCGCGACTGCTGCAGCTGCAAACGGAGCAGCAGCAGCAGCGCAGCAGCAGCAGCGCAGCAGCAGCAGCGCCGCAGCAACAGCAGTGCTGCAGGAGCAAAGCAGCAGCAGCAGCAGCAGCTTACTAACAAAGTTCCCAGCGGCTTCCGGGCACCAGCGCCCAAACGTTCAGTGCAAGCAGCAGCAAATTCAGCAACAGCTTGCTGCAGCTCAGCTTTCTCTGCTGCTGCTGCTGCTGCTGCTGAGTCTGCTGCTGCTTGCAATGCGGCAGCTGTTGCTGCTGCCGAAGACGCATGCGCTGCATCTGCATCATGCAGCTCGCCTGCTGCTGCTGCTGCTGCAGAGTCTGGTGCTGCTGCGTCTGGTGCCGATTTTGCTGCTGCTGCTGCTGCTGCGGCTGCCACGGCAGGCTCCTCAACAGGCAAAGCAGCAGCAGCAGTTTGCTGCTGCTGCTGCTGCTGCTGCTGCTGCTGTGGGGCGTCAACAGGGGCCTCTATCAGCCGCGGTTGCACCACAGCCAACCTATCGCGAAGCATGAGCTGCTGCAGAGGCTCTTGCTGCTGCTGCTGCTGCCGCAGCAGCAGGGAGTTCAGCGTGTCTGAGAGGGAGCGGATGGCCTCTGTCTGCTGCTGCAGCTGCAACGTGAGGTCTTGCTGCTGCTGCAGCAACTGTCCTTGCTGCTCTGCAGAAGCGGCGGCCTTCAGAGTGCCTTCTTCTGCAGCAGCAGCAGCGGCTTCTCTGTTGCTGCTGCTGCGGTTTCTTCTGCGGCACCGGAAGTGATCCTGCAGCAGCAGCAGCAGCAGAAGAAGCGAAACTGCAACACTATGCCTTTCAAAGGACAGACAGAAGCAGTTGGACTGAACAGTCAGGCAGCAGCAGCAGCTGCAGCAAAAGCCGCAGCAGCAGCAGCAGCTGCTGCGGCTTACCCAGAGAAGCACAGCAGCAGCTACTGCAGCAAGGAAGACCGCTGAAGGCAGCAGCAGCCTTGCAGCAGCAAGCAGCAGCCGCCGCAGCATTTGCCACACCGTGTTGGGGCTTCCTGCAGCAGCAGCAGCAGCAGCATCAACAGCAGCAGCAGCAGCAAGTGGCGGCGAGAGCAGCATAGAACCCTTCGGCGTCTCTTCGCAGCAGCCTCCACCGTCCACACCCCAAAAACCTAAACCCTAAACCCTAAACCCTAAACCCTAAACCCTCACTCTCACTAATAACGCCAGAGGCGCTGCTGCGGTGCTGCTCAGGAGACACCGCGAGGGTCCCCGCGCGGGTCAAAGCAGCAGCAGCAGCAGCAGCAGGAACGTGCCAAGGTACCTGCAGCAGCAGCAGCAGCAGCAGCAGCAGTTATACGTGAGTAATCTTGGAGGGCTGGACTCTCTGCTGCAGCAGGTGACTTAGTGCAGGCTGTGATGCCTCGCTGCTGTTACTGCTGCTGCTGCTCCTGCTGCCGCTGCTGCTGCTGCTGCTGCCCCAGCCCTCCCTCCCGCAGACGACTCACAGAGCTCCCTGGCTGCACCTCTGGCTGCTGCTGCTGCTGCTGCTGCTGCTGTTGCTGCTGCTGCTGCACGCTGGAGAAGGCCTCGTCTATTTCTTTTTCTGTGAGTCCTTTGCGCTGCAAAAAGTCTCGCTTGACTCCAGTAGCCGCGCCGGAAACTGCACCCCAAACCCTAAACCCTAAACCCTAAACCCTAAGCCCCAAACCCTAAATTCTACGGCCTGCAAACTTGCACACTAAACTCCTGCAGTCAAAAGGCCTTTGCTGCCACTGGGGCTAGCGAATAAGGGCTAGGGTTTATGCTCGAGAGTGGGGTTTGCAATTAGGGTTTAGGGTTTAGGGTTTACTGGCGGGGTGCGAGAGGAAGCGGACGGCGTTGGCCAGCTTCTCTTCCCTAGCAGCAGCAGCAGCTGCTGCTGCTGCTGAAGCTGCTCCTGTTGCTGCTGTGGGCGTGAAGTCCCCATGGACAGTCAGCTGCTGCAGCGACTGCTGCTGCCGTTGCTGCTGCTGCTGCTGCTGCTGCTGCTGCAGCTGCTGCTGCTGCAGCGGGAAGGGCGCCACCGGGCCAGCATATGCTGCTGGGAACGGCACTGCTGCTGCTGCATAGTGCTGCCAATAGGGGGCCCCTGGGGGCCCCCCGGGGGCCCCCCAGCTGTACCCATAGGGCACATAAGAAGAAACCATATAAGGGGCCCCCATGGGGGCCCCTAGGGGGGCCCCACCCATAGGGGCCCCCATGGGGGCCCCCATTGGGGCCCCTAGGGGGGTCCCCAGAGGGTGTGAGAAGTGTGGGGGCCCCGCGGGGGGCCCCACAGGGGTATAGACAGAGTTAGAGGGTCCTGGGGCCCCCAGAGCCTCTGAGTATGGGGGCCCCCCAGATCCCCAGGCGGCCCCCAAAGAGCCTGCTGCTGCTGTTGCTGCTGGTGCTGCTGCCGGTGCTGCTGCTGCTGCAGGCAGCGGACAAAGGGCAGCAGGGGGCCCCCCTAGAGGGGCCCCCGCCGCAGCAGCAGGAAAAGCCTCGGGGGGCCGATCTGCAGCAGCTCCAACATGAGCAGCAGGAGCAGCAGCAGCGACGGGAGCCGCAGCAGCAGGAGCCGCAGCCGCAGGAGCCGCAGCAGCAGGAGCCGCAGCAGCGGGTGCTGCAGCAGCGGGTGCTGCAGCAACAGGAGTAGCACCGCCGGCCGCGTCTCCAGAAGCCGCAGCTGCAGCAGGGGAAGCAGCAGGAACAGCAGCAGCAGCAGCAGGATCAGCCGAGGGGGGCCCCTCATGCGGCGCAGGGGGCCCCTGGGGGGCCCCGGGGGCCCCCGTCGGCGCAGTCATTGCAGGCCAAAAGAGGGGCCCCCGGGGGCCCCCAAAGCAGCACAGAGGGCCCCCCGGGCTTTTAGGGTACAGTTGGGTACAGGGGCCCCCCGGAGAGAAGAAGAGACAGGGCGAGACGAGGGAGACAGAGACACGCAGGGCCCTGTTTGCTGCAGCAGCTGCAGCAGCAGCAACAGCAGCAGCAGCGGCAGGGCGACGTGTAAGAAACAGCAAACACACAGCATAAAGTCAACGAGAAGTGTGCAGCAGCTGCTGCAGCAGCAGCCAGTGCTGCTGCTGCAGCTGTTGCTGCAGAAGCAGCTCGCGCATGCAGCCAGCTAAGAAGACCCATGTCTCTGCTGCAGCAGCAGCAGCAGCAGCTGCTGCTGCTGCTTGTTGCCATTTCTCCTTGGCTTTTTGGCGTTTAGGGTTTATCTGCTGCTGCTGCGGTCCCTGCCTTCTTGTGGAAGGCGGCGGAGACCTGGCAGGGCCCCGCTGTGGGGCCCCTTGCTGCTGCTGCTGCTGCTGCTGCTGCGGCTGCTGCTGCTGTTGCTGCTGCTGCAGTGCTCTTAAGCTTCCTTAGCTTTTCTGGAGGCATAGAAGACTCAAGGCGCCATTCATACTGCAGCCCGTGGGCGCGGCGCCCCAAACCCTGAACCCTAAACCCTAAACCCTAAACCCTAAACCATAATCCCTAAAGCCTAAACCCTAAACACTCGAGGATGTCAAAGGCGTTTGCTGCTCGTCTGCTGAAGACGGACGGCTGCCGCTCTAAGCCCTTCCACTCGCCCTTTGCTGCTGCTGTGCTCAAGAAGTTCGGGTGGACTGAGTGAGTGCAACAGCAGCAGCAGCAGCAGCAGC